GTACGGTTGGCCTTCTGGGCTGCCAGCGCACATTGCCGGCTCATGTCCAGCTTTTCATCCAGCAGCACCCCCAAGTCCCTCTTGGCAGGGCTGCTCTCAATCCTTTCTTCCCCCAGCCTGTACTGATACTGGGGGTTACCCCGACCCAGGTGCAGGGCCTTGCACTTGGCCTTGTTGAACCTCATGAGGTTCACACAGGCCCACCTCTCCAGCCTGTCCAGGTCTCTCTGGATGACATCCCGTCCTTCTGGTGTGTCAACCACACCACTCAGCTTGGTGTCATCCGCAAACTTGCTGAGGGTGGGTGCACTCGATCTCACTGTCTAAGTCATTGATGAAAACATTAAACAGCACCGGTCCCAGTACGGACCCCTGAGGGACACCACTCATCACCAGTCTTCATCTGGACATCAAGCCATTGACCACTACCCTCTGGATGCGACCATCCAGCCAGTTCCTTATCCACCGAACAGTCCACCCATCAAATCCATAGCTCTCCAATTTAGAGAGAAGGATGTTGTGGGGGACCGTGTCAAAGGCTTTGCAGAAGTCCAGATAGATGACGTCTGTTGGTTTTCCCTTGTCTACTGATGCTGTCACACCATCACAGAAAGCCACTAGGTTCGTCAGGCAGGACTTCCCCTTGGTGAAGCCATGCTGGCTATCTCGAATTACCTCCCCGCAGCAAAGCTTGAGTGTGATGGGGGAGGATTGCTTGAGTGTCCTTTTTCGTTTGATCGAAGATGCTGCTTGGAGATTTACTCACTCTACTTGAGAAAAGGAGCAGAGAAACAGAAAAATCCTCCATCTCAGAAAGGACACTCATTCTATATTGGAGAAATAAAGGTCTTTCTTTTTCTCCAAGCAGAACCCTTCCTTTGAAAGCCACTGAAAAGAGAATGTAACGTGTTTTCCCATGCTACCGTGTACCTTGAGTCACTTATCTCTTAGCACAATCTTTTACTGTAATTGCTGCAGCAATCACAATACACCTATTCGTGTTCTCCACAAAGACAGTCATGGTTTCTGCTGCAATTACCCTTCTGATTTCATAGATATAAGATATAAGGAAACAGTTTCCAGTGCCAATAAACAGAGTGGCCCCTGTTGAGGGAGACAGCTATGAGCCAGCCTACAGCTTTGGTTGGGGCAAAGCAAAGTCAAATCTCTTGTGCGGGTATTGGACAGACAGAAAAAACTATTCCACAGCAGGCTGCAAATTTGACTGGGCACTGAGACTTGAGCAGGGCTGATTTTTCTTGCCTCAGCTGACTTTGCCTTTACGCTGTGCTGCCTTTATGCCAAGTGTGTTTCAAGAAGCCAGGCTTTCTTCAATCTTAAAACTGCTTAGGCTGATCTGCCAAGCCCATTCTTGTTGTCCTTTTTGGAGACAGATACCCTGGCTTTCAGCACTGACAGCTCAAGAAACAAAGAGATCAAGCCTGGCAGGCCTCTATCAAATCTTTCTTTCTTTCTTTCCCTTAATGTTTCCCTGGGTGTGGCAGAGATGATGGAAGAGCCAGTCTCCTTACAACCAACCTCCGATGAGTTAGCCCAATGCAGAGAGAGCAGAACTCACAGTGCCATGTTCCCCCTTCGTCTGGCAAGGGCTGAAAATGACAGTCGGGGGGAATTGACTGCAGACCCTGGGCTTCTGCTGAGCCACCAAGACAACCCTACACAAGAAATAATCTAGAAAAAGTTTCCCTTTCACCTTGCCTCTAATTCAAATGTGAGTTCTGTGAGCCAAATAGGTGCTTCGAAAGCTCAGTTCAGAATGAATTTACACAGTAATGTGAGTCAGAAATGCAGTGTGTGCTCATGAACATTATGTCAATAATTTATGGTGATTACAGCTTCCATATCTGTGCTGGATGCCCTGTTGCTATGATTTTGGAGCAGAGGATTGAGTAAAGAGTTTTTGAAAATCGTTTGTTCCCTGTTTGGTGCCTTCACGTTGTAAAAGGTATTTCAGACTGCTTGTGCTGGGGAGATTCTGAGCCCCTGCTTTCTGGCAGGGATATTCAGGCACCTGAAATTCAGGCCTTAAGAGCTGCATTTGGTTTTGTAAATGATCTCATTCTATTTATATACCTTCCTGCCTGCCTCTGTTTTTCAAAATCAGCATGGGAATACCAGTCATGTGAAGTTGGTATTATCTTCTCTGGTTTGTTTTTAAGATTTCTGAGATACTGACAGTAAGTACCAATATTATGAACATTGGCAAAGGTATTGAATCTTTTTCATTGTCATCATCTTTGTGATGCTAATCATTCTGGGAAAACGAATGGTATTAAAAAAAAAGAGACAAAAGCTAGATGTGTAAATACTGTAACTTAAACTATCTTCGTTTTTCAGTTGTTCGGATTTCACCTTTCCTTCTCATGTTCCTTCACCCCTTCATCACATGCTAGTCAGCATACAGCTGCCCAGCCTAGACAGTTCTGAGCCTGCTTTAGCAGGGGGGTTGGACTAGATGATCTCCTGAGGTCCCTTCCAACCCTTACGATTCTGTGATTCTGTGATTCTGTGAATGCCAGACCTCAGGAAGTAAATAAAAGCTTTATTTATTTCCCCTCTTTGCAAGTCACTGTTACAGTTATCAAAGTGCTGCATTGCCCTTTTTGTTAGAACCTAAATACCTGTGACTGTTCAGAAAACAGAGCTGAGAATACAAAGCACAATATAAATAGCAGAAACTAATACAAAAAGCTCAACAGCTGCCATCATAGATCAGCCCAATGAAAAAGCATCCAAGGGAAATCTGTTTCATTTTGTTGTTTTTGTTTTGCCACCTGAATGGGTACTGACCTCAAATACAATAATGAAAGCCAACCGTGCTGCTAAGACATGCCAGAACTGCAGCGTGTAACCGTAGGGCACTGGGGAGTGAGGAGGGTCTCGGTAGTCCCTGTACCTGAAAGACAGCAGAGTATGGTGGTTAGCAAGCTCCTGCCCGGCTGCCTGGGAGGAAGGCAAAACCAAAACCCAGCTGCTCTTGATCATTGCATTTTCTGCACCAAAATGATCTCAGTTCAGACTGTACAAGTTGCCACAACACTGCTTGCTTCTTAGGCTGGGCCTACATTAGTTATTTATTTCAGATCAGGCTCATGCTTTTGAAGCACCTCCACTTGCCATGCTTTGGTTCACCCAAACGGGTTTACTTTCAGATGAAACCTAATGGTAAGGTACATGCCAGGAATACACTTCGCACTCCAGCTGTTAATGGAAATTCAGTGCAAAGAACCAGGCCAGTGCCTGGATGAAGCAAAACTGCTGAAGCAAATACTTAGGATGTTGGATGCTCAGCACCAGCACTTTGACCCTACAGCATCTCCCTTGGCAGCACAACTTGTGCCTTGCAGCCATCGCCTCAGAACATGGAGCAGGGTAGGATGCTCTGCTGTTTTGAGGGCCACTTTCTTCCCACTACAAGTTCATTCTAAAACCATAAATGTCCCCAGTTTTGTCAGCCTCACAGCCCTGCCTAAATCCATATAGAATTGCTTCATGGGCTTCATCTGGCCCTTGGTCAATTAGTTGGCCATCCCATCAAAGCACAACTCATCCTGACTTTAGTGGAGCCAGAACTGCATCTCTTGGTGTACCAGCAGGGCAAGGGCTGTGTAAGAAAGGGATCTAGTGTCTTCCCTCACAGAATGTTTCTTTAAAGACTCTAGGTCTCAAAAACATAACTAGAGATATGAAGTCATGAATCTGTTTAAATCACACATTCTGGAGTTCATTTCTACTAGTAGTATGTTAATTCCAAAACTCTATTGCAGAAACTTAATTTAAAAGTAGCGTAAAAATTGTTTTCTCCTTAATCTGTTTCCTAGATGGGACAGAAAACCCATTATAAAAAAATACTGAAAATACCACAGTAAATAATACACTTAAGCTTGATCCCTAAGTTACTTTTAAGAAACTAAAGAAAACACAGATGAGCAAAAAAAATAAACAGTTATTTCATCTCTGTGATAATCTGTATTTCTCCCGGAAGCTTCACCTTCTAAGATCGCAGAGGGTGCTACACAAAATGAAATCAACTGTGTGTTGACATCTTAGTCAGCAACAAACCTCTCCTAAGTTGTAGTATCTCTAGTACAAGTTCTTAAACTGAGATGATCTTCCCTTCTGCAAGCAGCATTCAGACTTCATAATTTAGGATGTTTTGCAATATCTTAAGCAGCCTAAAAACAGAAGTCCTCAGACCATGTCCCAAGTCAGTAGGGTATGTATCCTTTTTCTACTTGCTAGGAACCAAAAACTACACATGAAGAAATAGGGAAACCTTTTATAAACAACCGGAACAGCACGGCACCATCTGGGTTCCAGACGAGCAGAAGTTAACTGAATGTGGCCACCGTTTTTTGTTCAGACAGACTGCCTTCCTGAAAAAATGCCCACACTATTGCAGAGTAGAACATAATATTTCCTAACCTTACTATCAATATCTGGCTTGAAGTGCAATTAAAATGACGGATGTTTTAGCAGAATTCAGGTGGGTTAAGTAGCCGATAAACTCAGCTAAAGAAAGATGTTCATTTTCTTTCAAGGGTAGATATACATAACAATTCAGTGTCCCCCAAAAGAACAGATTTATCTTCTGGAGATTTATGGCACCAATTTTAATACTGTTCTCTTTATGCTATATTGAGGGGACAACTATTTTTATTGATGGGATTTCCACCATTGGCTTTAAGTAGCAGCAACCTCATGTTTGAAGTTGGGGAAGAAAGGAATTAAAGAGGGGGAAGAGAATGATCAGAATTACAAACCATTATTAAACGGTGCTATGGCAAACAATGTGGAATAGATTTTTCTCAAAATGGTTCTGCTCCACAGAAAATGTTATCTATGGATTCATCACTGGGGTGTTCTTTCTGCCAAATAAGTGACAACAGTCTTAAATATCAGTTAGTTAAAAAAAAGCATTAATGCCACTCCCCCCCAGTGCATTATGCTATACCACTCAAACTTCTTCTTATTAAAAAAAATGCCACAGTATCACAAAGTATCACCGCCTTTTGCTGTATCACAGAGTACCTTCTGTTCTTTAGGCACTCATGAAAGGATATTTTAATTCTTCACAGTGAAAAATACTGGGACTAAGTGCATCTGCAGCTACCAGGACTCATGCCTGTAAACCAATGTTGCAATAAAAAAATGATAGCTGTATTTTTTGTTTGGGCCCCCATTTAAGACATTTATGTAGATCCTTGATTCTCTGGACCATTAAAACCAATCAAGTGCAAATCTGTCATTACAGACTAGTCTCAGACTGCTATTTCTCCAATCTGTTGGCGAGGACAAAGACATACAGGTAATTGACTGCTCATTTTATTTTGATTCAAACCACAAATATACGATTATTACTGATAATTACACCTGTAAGCAATGACATAAGCATATTAACCATTCAACAATTAGGAGGTGCTGCATTTGAGGTTTCATAAAGGTAGCTTAGAACAGATGCTGTTTGTGCCTGGCAGATCTGTGAAATAACTCAGTGTGGTCACTTCTGTGCAACCTTGACTTCCCTCTACATGTGCTGTGATATAATCTGATTACAGCTTCATCTCGCTGGTACCTAAGTAATCAGTCACCTGTTATTGGCCCTTTGATGCCATATTTCTCCATGATGGTTGTGTCTGATTCAAGCCATGACACCATAGGAATCCTGCATTAGGAATACCTGCCAGGTATCCACCTTTGGGCTTCTCCTGTATCTAAGGAAGGAATCATGCAGGTAACAGCCAAGGAATACCGCGAGCATTTCCCTGAATAGCACAGTTAATTCTTTCCATTACTGTTTTTTAAGTTCTGAAAATTAGTTCCAACCCCAAATTCATCATGATGCTTCTCCCTTGCAATATCTTAAATCAGAGAGGTATTTTGATCAGACACGTACCTGCAATATTTCAATGGTGAACCAGAGAATTCACTTCCGTTTGATGTTGGCTCTGAACGGTTTTCAAAGTCAGACACGAGAAATACTGATAAACTGGCATTAACATAGCCAACCATACACCTAGAGGGGAAAAAAATCCTGTAGTCAGGACACAGCAAGCTTTTTCCATTAACTGTTGTACCCTGGAGAATTTTCTCTAGGTTTCATGAAATCCACAGTAGAACTGTGGTGCTTATTAATATTTGAAAGGGATGTTGAGGCAATATAAAAGAAATGTTCAGGTAGGTCAGATGGACGGTAAAAGTGAAGCAATGGTAGATTTCTATGGGAGAAGAAACAGTGAAGACTGGGACTGGTTACTTTTGAAAATAAAAGTCACTTAAAAGGTGACACAATAGAGGTAGAGAAAATAATGAGTAGCAGTAAGAAGATAATCAGAATTTTCCCACTGTTACCCTCATGGTACTAGCACAAAGGGACATTAAATCAGATGGAAATGCAATACACTTAAAACAGATTTTTACAAAATATCCAGTTAATCAGAGGAACTCAGTACTAAAAGATCCCAGTGTGGCTGAGCACTGGGAGAGCCAGGCAGAGTTTGGAGAACACTGAGTAGGAGAACGTACATCGCCTGATGGAGGGCTGTGGGAGTCACTAGAAAGCTGAAGTTTGGTGTTGATAAAGATGAGGAGAGATATGGCAAGTGCATCGCGCTGTTCTCTCTGCGCTGCCCAAGCACAGGTAAGTCTAGGCACGCTGCTCAGCTTGGTGCAGAGTATAATGCACAGTAACAGTTGGTTTTGGGTTGATTTTATTTTTTGAAGTGTGGATTTTACAGTCTCTGAGAAATTACATTTAAACACCATATGGCTTTATCTCAAAATCTCCATACTGATTGAATTTGGAACTTAATTTAACGACAATATTTTTCTAGTATCACTGGGTGTCATATGGATCTAATACCTACAGATGTTTTTTGAAAGAAAAAAGCACCTCTCATTTAAGTTCTTCAACAGCAGATGCTCTTGACTCCTTAATTTGAGAAAATTTAATATTCCTGTGGATTTTTGAATAGCTTCCTGCTTTTGTAACAGTAATTATTAATAACAATATCCCGAATGCTGACATAAATAGTTTTTATCCAAGTTGGCTCCTTCAAGGGATTACTATCTGATAGTTTCATCTACAAATTCACTCAGAAAAGCAGCAGAAGTGTGAAAATACCGTACAAGAGTTTTGTGAAAAGATAAGATGTTCCTTTGTAAGCCAAGCTACTTCCCCTATGCAGAACTAGTTTCAAAGCCAGTGAGTCATACTCGAGTCTTCAGAAAAATAAAATTTCTAAAGGTGGTGTTTTTTCATGCACAGTGATCCTGAAAAAATCAGTAGCAAGGAAAGTTGCTGACAATGCCTCAATGTCGTATGGATCTTAGTAATGGCACAGGCAGAGGCACACACTCAGGAGCAGCTGGCACCAGACCAAACACTTTACCCATGAAGGGACTTCACCTCTTCATGAAAATAAATGGAACATTTCCTCTGGCACCAGCTAGAATGCCAAACCCCTTGCAGGACAGCAAGTTAGCAGCACTGCTAATCAGGAGCTGCCACACCAGCTGCCCCTCTTCCATCAGTATGATTAAACAGTATCGACAACCAAAGGATGGCAAAAAAGCAGCAACACAAGAACTCGCTTTCTGTAGCAGGGAATAAAAATCAATCTGCCATATGTCTAATGGCAGAATGTAAGCTCTCTGTCTCTGTCTACTGTTTAGCCTGGGTTTCTCTGAACAGTAGAGTCCTTGCTAATGGAGCTGCTAGGAGATCATTTGCAAACTGTGTCTATTTGTGTTCAGCTGGATTCAATGAACTTCCCCTAGTCCAACAGCCTAGATTTTACAAGTGTTGCCATGTAGCAGCTATACTCATACTTGCTGGTAGTGTGCACACACTAATATAATCTCAGTGTTTAACAACACTGAAAGAAAATCCACTTAGGCAGCTGGGATTCAGTTCACAAACGGCTCCTGAAAGATTTAATCTAAGGACTCTAGTTTTAGAAGAAAAACAAATTATTTTGCTCTGTAAGTGGATCTTGATTTATTAGTTGGGAATTGCTTCCTTTTGTTAGACACTACTTTTTTTGAGCAATACATGCTGAATACTACATCAGGAAAAAAAGCCTAGTGAATAAGTTTAAAATGCTCATTAAATCCATAACCGATAAATATCAGCATTGCTTCAGAATGAAAAGAAGATTATATCCATGTACACCAGCTGGGAAGTGCAGCTTGCGCAGCATACTGTTACACACACCAAATCTCTGCAACAGCTCTGCCATGTTTTCCTTGAAGTAACGTCATAAATTATAGTCACTCAGCAACCCCTTCTGTGAATATGTAAAGCATCAATATCTGTGGCTGATCTGTCACCTAAGCACAAGCAATAAATTTGGGTTAGTGGAATCAGAACATACACAGACAGTACTGCTGTATCTATTCAAATAGTAAGTGATTTTCATGTGCATCTGTTTTCCCAGAGCAAAAGCTTACTTTTGTCCAGCTTCTCCTTGGCCAGCACAAGGTCCATATTTATAAGCATAAACAAGGCGAGGGATGAAATCTGATGTCACAGCTATAACAAATGCATTTGTGATAACAGAAAGAATTCCAATGCCTTCCAGGATCCCGTACCAGATTCCTGTTCAACAAGGAGAGTATGTTAGCTCCAGGAAAAACAAGAACCAAAGTGCCTGAGTTACTGCATGTTCTGAAGCAGCTGTCCTCACCACCCGAGGTCTTTTTATGTAGTTTCTACCCAAGAGTCACTGAGTAAAAATAATTTTTCTTATTGAACAGCAGGACCCCAGTAGACCAGATTTCTGCTCCCACTGGGTGGGAGTTTTGTTTATCCTGCAAACAATCTCAAGGAATCCGCAAAAATGCTCATGGAGGCCTTGGCTCCACCAAGCCACACAACCAAGTGGGCAGTTTTAGGAAACGCTGTATGTCTCCCTGCTTAGGATGATGGCTATCCAGTCTTTGAAGAGGGTCTGCCAGGGCAGCCATGAATATATGCAATCCGTGATCTTCCTGTCACAGGGGCCTGGTGTGTAAGTCATGCACTGCTGGTCAGCATGTACCTGCTGGCATCAAAATCTTCATGGCATGCTAATGCTATACAATGGCACACAGCCCCTAGGCATCATATGGGTTTTTTGTCCCATCCTGAACTGTCTGACAGATCATGAGTACAGGCACACAGCAATTCTAATCATGAGGACCATCACTGAGAACCACACCAAAGGAAGGTTAGATGTACCCTTTGATTTTAATGAGGTATCAAGCTGGCCCTGAAAACTTTGCTGAATAGGGAGTTAATACAACTTAGTTTGAGAAATCACACCTGAATCAGCCTAAAAAAAAAATAATCTATTTTTCTGTGCCTCTATTATTTACGTTACAGAACTGTTTTTTTTTTCAGGAATTATGTATGCAGTGTAAGCTGTGTACTGGCTGATGTCCAGGCTTGTACCTAAACTCATAGATCCATGCTGTTCACATAAAAAGCTTTACTCAGACACAGACTTCAGGTACATGGTAGACCATTCTGAGAGCACAAAGCCTGGGTTTCTGCTGTTTCATGCTGTGGGCTACCGGTTTTTGCAAAGCAGATGGGCAGCAAGGTATCCTATTTACCCCTCCAAAGACACCAGGGATTCAGTGTGGGGCAGATGACTTTGTTTTACAGAGTCCTTCCTAAAGGTGTTCTGCTTTTGCACACTGCAAGAACAGAAGAGATTTATAGTCAAAATATGTTCAGAGAGCCCTTGCAGTAGTGTGTGGCTGGATGACCTCAAAGTTATGTGAACCCTGAGTTTAGCAAAGTCAGTGTGCCTCACTGAGAGCAAGTCGTCTCTTGGGATCTAGACCCACCCTGTCTGACCCACCAGGGACCTAGTCCCTGAGTCACAGGGGAGCCTGATTTTGACCAGGTAAATATAAACCACACAGGATGGTGGCTGCTTTCACTTGACTTTCATGTTTCAGCTGCTCTGTCTTGTTGTTTACATTCAAACTGATCAGCAGCATGTGTTCACATAGTGTTTGCCACAAGGAAAAACCTGTAGAGAACACTGATGACTTCATTAAAACATCTTGGTTGTTAAGTCACCCAGAAAATCATTAAAAGACATTTTCCAGTATAGACTATTAATTGTATAATTAGATTGGCATCAAATACTTGAAGTTTTTTGGAACAATTGTCTGTTGTTAGTGGGGAAGATGACTGAAAATACCTTAATCTGCTCTTACTTGAAGTGGTCATTGCTTTGCCTTAAAAATAATACACACACATAACACACACACACACAAAGAACTCACCTATATCTTTGGCTCTTGAAGCTAAAGGTCTTCTCCACTGGGTAACAAATTTGTACGCATCAAGCCGAATTTCAATAATATTATTAAGTAAGGCCAGAAGCGGTGCCAGTGGAAAAGCTGCCACAAAAATGGTTGTGAACCCAAACTGAAGAACTATGGAAAAAAAAGATCACAGTATAACTGTTAAGACCTAATCCCAAGGTCTAAGATACCAAATAATATATGCATACAAATATTATGTATAAATACACACACATTTCTTATTATGCCATACCATAGAATAGTCTAGTGACACTTGTACAGCAATTCCTTGCCAGAAGTTCAGAGCAAGGATGACAAGAACAACTGCACATCTGTCCCCGTGATGGTCAGCAGTATCTAGATTTTGTAATTTGGAGCAAAATTTGGAGGTGGACAAACTGCTTTTAGAAAGGGCCTTTTTTCCCTCCAGCATCAACTAGGACCTCTCAATACATGCAAAGATTAGGGCTGAATACATTCCTTTTTCTAGTACAGATGGGCAGCAGTTTGAAACTTTGTGTAAGTTTCTAGAGACAAGTTTTCAGACTGCCAAATTTCCTACTAATTTGAAAAGAATTGTCTGAGGGAGAAAAGAAAAAAACAATCATGACATACGCAGTCCAGCCACATGGGGCAAAAGTTCTTGTTCTTTAACATGGCTTTGAGCAGTTATCCTGCCCTCTCCTCTGGATAGAGCAATGGCTTTTGGCAGCAAGCTGCTTTGTAAATGCAAGGTAGTAAATGATGGTGAATTTTAAACATAAACAAGCCTGTGGGTCTGTACCATGCAGTTTAAAAATAAAAGCCCAAGCGAACTTCCTTTAGAAAATAACAGCAAAGTTCTTCAGAAATGTATGCAGGTGAAGAGGTGGGCTCTGGTTTGGAAAACGACCTCCCCCCCCCAAGCCAGAATGAGAAGTGTTTCATAGATGTGAGGTTAGCAAACCAGCAGCAGTGTGGTTAGCTACACTGGTTTGGTGTTGCTCTTAGAAACTCACTCTCATTCCTCACCTGACCTGTGAGAATGAAAACCATTTTTCAGCCTCTTTAGCTTCATACAACAATAATTAAAAGAATATACCAGCCCACATCAACAAAAAAAGCAACGACATTAAAATCTAATGAGAGAGAGAGAGAGAGAGAACAAAGGTCAGTGCCATACTCATTTCTAGGTATTCATCAAAGAGTCCATAAGCATTCATAGGTTGCAGGTTGTAGTCCTTTTCCCACTGTGGGAAGCTTGTTTTTCTCTGAGTGCCATACTCTTGTCGCAGTTTTCTCCTGGTCCACCAGTTTTGAATTAGCCTACGTTTTCAAATAAATTAAAGAAACAAGGTAAATAATATTAGTGGCTATTTATCACAGAGTTGGAAGAGGCTAAGTGTGCACAACATACCTTGCAAAATTAATTTCCCAATGCACAGGAAAATGGAGCGTTAGTAATACATGTAGCTGATAACACAGCATAACAGGTATGAAAACAGATACGGCTGATGGGCTGTAATTCAGGCCTAGATGTTGTTAAAATGGTGGAAGGATTTGACATGTTTTTATTATTTATCTACTTTCTTTTTCTCTCTACAGAATGGCAAATCAGTTCAGGGTCTGTTTATATGGCAGAATGCAATGCTGTGTGGAGATAGTTGAGCTCTAATTGAGAAATCAGTAAATAGAGCGCTGATGCTGCTTGATCCCATCCTGTGTGAGAGCTGGCATCTCTACACAGCTCTACAGTGTGCAGGGTAACAGTCTCCAGGCAATCCTGGAAGGGAAAAAGCAGCCTTGAATGGTGTCTGCAGCCAAACATTCAGAGGAATAAAAGGCAGAAAGAAGTGTGCGGACTACTGACAACGTGGTGGCTGAGAGGCGGATGGCTGGCATGAGAGATACCTCCATCACAAGAACTGGGGGGGCTGTACTGGACTTCAGGGGGAAAATACTGTGCCTGAAGAAATGCACATGTAGGGGCATCATGGGAGGCACTGAGCCAGAAAAGAAACGAGCGCTCAGTCGGAAATAAACACCTTTGCCTCTCCAGGTCAAGGAGTGGCACTGGTTTGACCAACAAAGGACATGAGTTCCAGTTAGTATAGAGAGCAAAAAAACCCCCAGCAAACCCACATGACAGAGATTTTGTCCGAAGTTGTGGTTGGCCCCTTCATCTCAGCAAGATAGAAGGTTATGGCACACCCAAATAATTCAATCCTTTCCCTGACTGTGCTTCGCTTCTTGCTGTCACAGTGAACTGGTCTGGTCTGTGAATGGCAGGCGAATGGCCATTGGATTTGGATAAGGGTTTGGCCAATTTCTTGTTTTCTTAAAGCTTAGAGATTATTTTTGCATTCAGGCCATTTACCAGACGGGTTATAGCTTTTCCTGTCTTCCTTAAAGAAGTGTAGGTTGAACTAAGTGCAGGGCATTAAAATCTGGAGTTTAGAAGTGCAAGAAAAAAGTTTAGAAGAACAAGCATGGACTTCAAGCCAGAATTGGGAAGTACAAGAAATTATTACAATATTTGGTTTTAGCAGTTGCAGCCAGTCACTAGGGTGTAAAAAGCCTAAAAAGGCTTTTCCTTGACCATCCATGGTTGTGATTGATGAACTGTGTGACAGCTAAGGGAACATCTTTGCAGTCCACAGGACCCTTTGTGACTTGACCTCTCATGTCCTGCCCGTGAGAAAGTGAGAGGGCTGAGAACTGAATTCCTGCAAAGGCATTAAATTGAGGAGTGAGGTGGGTGGGAGACCAATACCCTGAGACAGATCCCAGTTAAATTCCTCCTCTGTGAGAGGTGAAATCCATATCCAGTGTTACTAAGCATCTAGGACTCCTAGTAAAATGCAGAGAGACGTCATTTTAATCTATATTTTTTTTCTTATTTATTGCAAATATATCTATGCAGGAGAGGAGAACTGATGAACACTTTTAAGGGTTTCGAGGTGGTGTTCGTATGAAGCAGAAGCACCACTCTGACATGCCAGTATTTGTATTAAAAATGTAACCACTGAACAATCAATGCTCCAGCACACACCCGAGGGCCTCTCTTTGGTACCCATGAAACCTAATTTTTAACTCCCGGGCAGAAATTTCAGAAGAGAAGCCAGTGCCACCACATACCAGTGAGAAAACAGGCGCTGGGGTTCCTGTCACCAAGGAGCGCTGGGTGGCATTTCTGACTTGCCCTGCATGTCTCTGCGGTCCCTGTGGGAGCACATGCCTGCACCAGACCTGGGCTGACACCCTGAAATGGTGCAAAAAACCCACTCTCTAAAACAGGGTGCTAGTGCTCCTCTGCTAGGGCTGTCTTATGGGGATATATTCTCTGCTATCAGCTCTGGCACTGAGCAGTGTTGGCTCTCCTGGGTCTAGGCAAGCAGTAGCCAGCACCCAGGTGGAGGTACAGTGATGTTCTACTACAAACTATAGGATTGCCTCCAAATCCTTTGGCCATCCACATGGTGTTGGCTCCAGTCATGCTCTTAGCAGAAATGATGATGGATTTTTCACACAAAAAGGAAATGCACTTGCCTGCAGCATTTCAGGGCTAGAAGGTGAACTGAAAGGTCTGGAGAGCAAATACATCTCAAAGTTGAAGCATCTCACGTTGTTGTGACTGTGTGTGTTGTGTTGTGATTTGCGTTGTGACTGAAGTGAAGAGCCTGACTGCAACTGAAGCAGTTTATTCCTATTAAATCACTGGTTCTTAATCTCCTCCTATCTCCTTCAGTCACCTTCTTTAATCCCCTTCTGGGCTCTTTATTAGGTTTTGTAATCCCAATTAATAGGTAGCAGAAAGATCTAATGAAAACTGACAAAAAGAGGCAGGGAGTGGAAAGAGAAGGATCAATACTGCTGCTGCTGTTCCCTCCTCCCGACCCTGGCTAATTCCTTCAGCCCTAACAGCTGCAAAATCTTGGCAAGCAGCACTGGACTTGGACCTGGGAAGATGGAGAGTTAGGGCGCTTTGAGTACCTTGAGTGCCAATTACTCTGTGCATTTAAATAATTTACTCCATTTTCATTATGGCTAGATGTGATCAGCACTAAGGCTGCCTGAAATTGCTTCTGCAACATGTTTCTGCAGCTCAGGGATCGAACTCTGCACCAGCTCTGCTCTGGATCCTGCAGCGAAGCAAATCCCACTGAACTTTGCAAGGGCAAACTTTTTGACAATGTCAGCTCTCTTGTATTTTCACACTTGCTAATTTCCCTTGATGACTGCCTCACTGTCTCTAGCATCAACTGTCTATATTAATCATATTAAACATGCTCACTAAATACTAATCAATAAGAAATGAACCAACAGGAAATGAGTAATCCTCAACCTTTTTAGCTCTGTAATACCCTGAAGATCACTAGGGAACTTGCCTATATACCAGTCAGTACATTTTTCTATCTCTGAGAGTGTATATGCCAGCAGTGCATTTTTTCCAGTTCATACCTGCCCTTTCAGGCATCTTTTATCGCCCAGCAAGGAGAAATCCAATTTAGAACTTACTGGCATAGCTAAAAAATGATACATATAGTATTTCCTGTGTAAGGAATACAGCAGTCCTACAGTTATTGTTAAGGAGCTTTAAAACAGGGAATACTATTTAATGACATCAAGTACTTCCCATATATTATTTATTTGTCAATATTTATATTACACTTTCGCTTTTGCAAACTATGTTCAATGTGAAAAAAAGCCAAACACCATCTAGCTCTACACATCCAAAAATCTCTATTAACAGTTCTATATCCTAGGGGGGATTTTTTCTGTTATAATGACTACTGTATCTTACTTTTATGCAACTGGTCATAAGGAAAACATAAACTTTATGTCTTATTCTGTGACCTACAGAAGCATAGGCATTATTTTACTTACGGGTAGCCCAGTTCCATGAAGTTATTCCAGGTCTGCTTTAGCACCATTATAATACCCATTTGCATACAGAGATCAATAAGGCATCCACTAGGGTGGCACTACATAAAAAAAAGACACAAAAGGTTAGACAGAAACGATGCTGAGCTTTTAAGCATTTCTTAAAGACTGTAAGTGGATATTAGTTAATTCACTTAAAGGAAATTAAATGCCATTCTCTTTAAGTTTTTTAAAAATATAAACTCATGGGAGCATATGAGACTGTATCATACTGTGAACTTTTTAAGCCTATAATCTAATTCTTTGCAAAGGTCAGAATCAGTTGAAACCAATGCAGTTTTCACATTAGTGATGTTAATATGTTGGGCAGCTATGGGTGGGACAGAGGCAAAGGCTAACAAGTTTCTTCAATGATTTCAACAGTTTTTGGGGAGGGTGACTGGGCCTCAAGTAAAAGAATGAAGAGAAAATTCCTCCTGGCTGCACAGGCAAAGAGTTTATGCCTAAAACATAGACCTGATACTGTTTCTTGAGTACCATTTAATGTATATGACTGAGCAGACTATGCAAAGCTACTGTCTTCTCGAAGAACAAAAAATCTCTAACTGTTGAACAACAGTTCTCAGTGTCTCTTGCCTGAGTGCCTGCTTGCTTTAGCAGTGGCTCCAGGCCTTGAAGAAGTGGTGCTGCTTTTGGGAGAGATGCTCAGCTAGTACAAATTTAAGTAATTCCACAGTTTTTCATCTACTATTGGAAGAAACAGAAAAGGGCCAAAAGCTTTCTGCCCTCAAACAGCATTTTCCACAATTGACTTTGAAGATCCAAACAGCGGAGGTCCAACCTGTATTGTTAGATCCTGGGTATCATGGATAAGTCCAACAGATCACTGTCATAGAACTGGAACTATTTATCTTTAACTTTTGGGGAGAAAAAAATTGACATTAGCTATGACCTGTAACAAAATGTGATATGACTTTCTTATATATACTGCTTTTTACAGTTCTCAGAGCCAGGGTCCCTGCTGAGGTTTCTGTTGACCTCATTTAGCTTCTCTTTAGATTAACAGGGTGGCAGATAATTTTTTTTTTTAAATTAACTTTTCTAGAATATTATTAAATTATTATCCTTCTGTTTTTAGGAATCAGTCACACGAGGCAATATAACCTAAGAGAGGTAGGTGCAATATTAAAGAAGTAGCAGTGGTGTTACAGCCATACCATGACTAATGCACTTTGTATGTTGTGGTCTGAATATGCCCACAGACACTGGACCAGACTATATCTATACTGTGTAATTAAATGTCTTACACTTGGCTTCATCCCACAGGTGAAGAAAGGGCTATTGGAGGGATAGCTGGGCACTCTACATTATGTTTCTAATAAGACCTAACACAGATATGGTCAATAAAATGGAGACTTTTTTTATTAGACATTTATTTTATTATCAAACTTTTTTTTTCCCCCTCTGAGAAAGGCAAAATAGTAGGGACTACTAATAGTAGCTTCCACCAGCAACTGACCCCACCTGTAACACCTCACTGCTGCACTTTCTTCCCAAACATAGTTCTTTGTTCCTCCCATCTCTGCTCCTGCAAGTGAGGTTCTTTCCCTGTTCTCTGATGCCTCTCTGAGATGATTCAACCCAGTAATTCCTCAGAAAACTAATTCAGCCAGAAAAAGGAAGCATTTCCCGCTGATACAGGGAACTGAAGAGGCTCCTCACAGGGTTGGACAAGCCAGAGCCAGTGCAGAGGAAGAGGAAGAAGCAAACTTCTGGTGGCAAAGGAAGAGCAGAACTGTGCTTTTCTGGCAGCATCAATTTGTTAGGTCAGTTTGGCCCCTCTCAGACTTTGGAGGGATGTTCAGTGAATTTCTGCCTGCCTATTTATCAATGTCTCTTTCCTTGAATGTACAGAATTCACTACTTCAAAATTAGGATGGCTTTTTCAAATTATTCTTTTTTTTTTTTTTTTTTGCTAGTGTTTGAATGACCTTAATAGATAACCTTAATAATAACCAAAATATTTAGCTATCTGGAAGTGTTTGTAAATTCATGTTGGCAGTGTAAGACCTGCATTTTCCACTTGCCATTTGTCATGTATTTGCAAAGTTGTTTCAGTTATTCAGCTGTGAAGCAGGAAAGAAACCATGGGATTTGAGCGTGCAAATGGCAGCACTGGGCATGGCTGATCCAGAAGCTGCTGCTGTTCACCTCCAATAACTGTCAAATGGTTTTTGAGTTCTGAATGTATTTGCCAGAAAAAAGGGATTGGTCCTTGAGTTACTTGGAAAGCCAACCTCTCATGGCTCTCCAAATCCATTTGGTTTTATAGACGTGGAACATTATGCCAGTAGCTGTTTTGGGAAGTTTGTTCAGTTGTTTCAGTCAATTTTCAAGTACGTTTTATGTGTCTGGATTTTTAAGTTGTTATTTTAGCTCCCTGGTCAGCAGTTAGAAAAGCTGAGAAGAAAGGGATTTTTTTAGAAGCAAAAAGTTGTCAGATTCATATCTGACTTTGATTCATTTCAAGGATGAAATATTTCTAATGTGAAAATGTGGGTAATGTTTAAACCATTTGATACCACTATCCAAATGTGATTCAAACACTAAAATGGCTAGCATTGAAAAGGGCATATATATCAATATGTAGATGTTTTTGTAGCAGATGGTAATGTCAGTAGTGTGGAGTTAGACAGCAACTGAAAACCCAATAACACTCTCAGAAATACCTAGACAGTTATGGGTCTGCCTCTGCTTGCATTTACTGCATCTGTGGGCAGCAGATAAATCAGTGTGTAGTTAGCGAACACTCACCTCTTCCAGTCTCCACCGGTTTATCAGCCTTAAGTAGGCACCAGGGTGTCCTGTAAATCTTTAACACAGGAATATACGTCAACTATGTTTTGTAAGCAGCCTGTTCACACTAGAATAAAGCTCACACTGTTGTTTTAATCTAATGTCATCTTAGTGTGATTGATATAACTATAAAACATGCTATGCTGCAAAAAGTTTTGGGGGATTCCTGGAATAATTTCTATGAAGTGCTAAGTATATTTTTATTTCCAGATTTATTTCAATACCAAATACTCTGCTGTTGGATATTCAGCATATGCAGAGAAGAGAGAAAATCTGAATAAAACTGTTCATGTCAGTTTGGAAAATGGCTTTCAACTGCCAGTTCATTTTTTTACACCATAACGTGGGCTGTGATATCTGCCCTTCTGTGAGACCAGTGAAAATGTTAGTTTTCATTAGGAAAACATAATTTTCTTACTATTGTCCTATGTTTTCTCCCAAAATGACTCCCACAACTTCCAACATGCAAATAATCCATACTGATGGATTCTTCTACTCAAGCCTTCCCTACTCAAAGGCTCTTCTTTTGCTTTTAGAGGACTTGCAGAGAGAGGCATACAAATATATATATATATATATTTCATTTTCTGTGGGAAGAAACCAGCTGATGGCTCATAATTCACTCTTAACAGTCCAAATCATATAAAAGAAGAAGCAAAGTATTCAGGCATATGGACTAGATGATCATTATAGGTCCCTTCCAACTGAACTAAACTAAACTAAATTATTCTATTCTACTCTAGTCTGAAAGAAAAAGACACAGTGTTAAGTTATTTACTTACCTGTACAAATTACACACATAAAGACAGAGCGAAGTGACCCACATATATAGTATTGTGGGATGCATCAGTTCCCAGTAGTGAAATTGTTAAAAGTTAGCATTGAGCCAATGTGGTGCTAGGAAATGAAAACTACATCTGTTTCTGGGATTTTGAAGGGAAAATAAAACTGCAATCTGTCCTGCTTTGCTAGTATGGAATTTGCATTTTGAGATGTGTGATAATATGGTCACATTTTGTTTCATTACAGACAATTTTATTTCTTCTCTATTTCATTTTGCACATATGAGGGTGCAGACATCAATCCTACCTTCCAAGGAAGAATGCTATATAAAAGGTAGAGCTGTTCAGGTTGACAAACTGAAAAAGAAACATTTTCAGAGTGAAGCTGTTCTCCCACTCAGATTCAGTACGAGGCTGCTCTGTGAAGAAAGACAGCAGAATTTCAGAGGTTTAATCAGATTAAAAATTTCCCTTGGCACAAAGGCTGCAGACACCTATCAGAGCTGGCAAAGTATGCGTAAATTAGCCTGCTGATTTCGAAATACAAGCTGACAGAAGAAATTGTATCCAAAAGCAGCACACAGCAAGTGAGCTTGTAAAGATTTAGAAATCTCTTCTGGTATCTGGATATGTATATTCCCGGGAGACTGTAAGAAAGGGGTGGAGATATTGTCTATATTATATATCCCTCCTGGATTCCTGAGTGCCTTACAGGCTCAGGCTTTTCACTTATTTCTTTTTCTGCAACCTACCATGAGGACATTGCCAGAAAGCACCCCACTACAAGCTATGTAAATGCCTTTTTTTCAGAGATACCACACTGAACTGGAGGCAAATCCTCTCTGTAACTCTGTTTCATGGATTTTCCCACCATGTTGGCACCTAAAGGACTCTACATGAGTATCAGTGGAGTGCCACTGCATGACTCCCTTTCCTTGTCCCAGGGAGCTCATCACAGAAGACTGAGAAAAAATATTTCGCAATGGATGGGATAAGGCAAATGGGAAAGGGGAAGACATATTCTTCCCTTCAGGTAGGCCCTTAATCCCCATCTGAAGAGATATCAAGACAGAAGTTAACAAAACCACTTCTAAGCCAACACACTAGCTTCATGTCCTGGAACTACTTTCCAGTTGGCAGGAGCTTGTTATTGGTTAACCATTGCTGAGAACAGGAGTGATCAGAAGAGAAGTGGAGGTACTAATGGTATCATAATGGTAGTGCTCATATACTACTTCCAAAGGAGCCTCCAGTAGAGTACTGGAAGTACAGAAACAACAACGATAAACTAGATTCTCTTTAATTAGAGCTGCCCTGCCCATGAGGAGATTTCAAACAGATGCATCAACAAAACCATAAAACAGATCATAAATAAACAACTGCGTTAGTCATTTGGAAATGCCTGTCAAGAAACCCAAGTTTGTGTGTATGCTGGTACATACATGTTTAGATAAGCATAAAGAAAAAAAAAATGTTGTAGATTTTTGATGCCAGTCTGGGGGAAGGACAAATCTGGCTTCAAAAAGGCTACAGCTGAGGTTTTGCTTGTATGCCCATCAGAGACAATGGCAATGCTCTGGAGGAGCATGGACGTGAGCTCTAAAAAGGTCATGTAGAGGCTGAAGAAGGACATCCTGAATGTAGCTTTGCTGCCAGTCCCACTCTGAGCTTATCACACTGATAAAAATTGTTCAAACCAAATCAGCTACTTAGACCATCAGAGTAAAAACCACAAAACAGTCTGATCACTGTCAGAACAGCCTAAGCAAATGAGTTTTCATACAAATGCTTTCTGTACAGGAAGCAGACCTACCTTGATGATAACCTGGCAGATAATAATCAAGCTTCAAGGTCTCTAGACTATATCTCACTGTCCTCAGGGTGTCACAGGGAGTAAAAGGGCATAGCCTGTGCAAATCACATACTTGAAAATCATATTTCTCAATTGTAACCAGCAGTTATCTTTTCCATGGATACAGAATGGCAAAAGTATTTTAAATTTACTGCATACAAATGAGGACTCTCAGTCTAATAAGAAACAACAGAATAAAATGCTATCTTACACAGATGTGCCTTGAACACATCACCTATGACTTCACAGATGTAGAAAAGCCCTGACACAAGCTAAAATCAGCTGTGTGCTTCCTCTGAGAAGACACCAAAATCTGTGCACCTGGTCTAAAATACCTTACTGAACATCACCAATGTACAAAGGTATGCAGAAACTCAAAATAATCTCCTCAAACCTCTTCTACACATTCTATAATATGGTTCACTTAATAGGCCTTCAGCACGTGTCTCCTTTCAGGCTTCTTGACACTAAGGAGCCCTTGCCAATTGCCACCAACTACTGCAGTCTTCCAGCATGACCAGGATCTCCAGAGACTCTGCCTGAGCCATGGATATACGAGTGATAGACTATTGTTACCCCAGTGGCAGTACATGCTGTCCTTAGAAAACATGTTGTCCTTACTCTAGTGTAATGATCACCTTTATGGGTGCGTTGAAGAGATTACAGTAACTTAGAACACCATTAGAGTTTAGGTGCTGGTAGAGTTGATGAGCCACCTAGTTATTTTCCCTCCAAATTACTGCCCCTCTTAAAGGCACATGCTTGATAGCACCTTAGTTTCAAGCTATAAATTTGGCTTCAGGAAGTGATTCCCCCATTTCCAGGTCTTCACTGGGGGTTGTGAGTGCTCAGTCTCTCTGAAAACTCATGCTTTTTCCCCAAAGGTAACAATTTGTTTAAGTTCTTACAAGGTAAGGGGTTGGAAGAGGAACCAAGCATGGCAGGTGGGTGACTGTTGTTACCACTGATTGAATGGCGCTACAGCTTAGTTTATATACTCCTTTATTACAAACTTAAGAAAAACATGAATTCTTATAGCCAGCAAAATAATCAGGATTTTTCATATTTATACAGACAGTTTGAATGCTATCACAGTATAGGGACCAAAAAATCAGTACAATATAATTTAATTTTGTATTTAACATTGCTTACCTAAGTTTGTCAGGAAAAGAGCAACCTTTTCATACAGCTGTAACAGAAAAGAAACAGCCTCTTAGACACGTGGCCAGCCAAAAATACAGAGCTGCTTTCTAAGTAGACTAACTGCTCTTACAGGATAAATCTGTCATCCAGATGGTCTCTGTGATGTTCTGATAATGACGATAATAAAACTATGTAGTAATAATACAATGATGATTTAATCAAACAAGGCACAGTAATATTTTTAAAGCTTATACTCAGCTCCATTCATCCACAATATATAGAGAAAAATATGCTGTCACTGTCCCTATTTTACATACAGGGTGAAAAAGGGTCAGATAACTTTTCCAATGGAACACGTATATCACAGAAAAATCAAACTAGTAAGAGCATGTTCTGGTATGTTGGGCTCTTTGGTTTTGCTTGGGATTTTTTGGGTGCTGAAAGGAAAGACACTGGGGAGACATGGAGTTGCTTCAGAGAAAAGCTTTTGTAATCCCCCCCACCAGACACATTTCTTACTCAGAGTCAGTGACGCTGTTCTAAATCCTAAGTGGTACTTTCTGCGCTTAGCAGGTACCGTGCTCTCAAACTCTCTGGGAGACTGCTAACTTCATAAAGCTGACAAAAACTAACTTAGAGGGTTTTCACTATTAGTATTTGCAAAGGGGTTTTGAACCTATAAAGTACATCGCCATCAACATCAGTATTAGTGTAAATTAATACAACGATTTCCATTTGCTTTAAATGAGTCTGGAGCCTGTTCCCACAAAACGCTAAATGTCGTTAACTCTCACTACAGGGATACAAAGCTCCTCATATTTCAGGCTCAAGTACTTATTTTTTCCTGAAGTGCATATCAGCAATGTTTCTTTTCATTTGCAGTTATCCTTATAAACTCTTGCTTAAATTGATTTATGTACAATTTACAGATCAAACTGCCTGCTTAAGAACTGAAGTAATCCTGAATTATCTCATCCATGTTAACAACCACTTCTTGCTTAGAATAGCTTTTTGCTGCCTTTGGAGTAAACAGTTTTGTTTCAAGTAATGAAAAAGGTGGTTTCTTCTAGGTTTAAATGCATCTCTTGCAGGCAACTGTAGAAGTGCTAAATGTCTGGGTGGTTTATATCCTGATCCCAGAAGGGAGTGTGCTATTTTATAAATGTACATTGCTCTGCAGAAGGGCGTATTGAAACTGTATTTTGTTGCTATTCCTCCTGGAACAGTGAGACTGTGTTAGAGATTCTGTTAACAATGTTTGGATCCAATTATCTGCTACTGCAGTTTATCACTACTAGTCCCAAGGGGCCTTGTTGAAGATCGTATGCTGTTCTGTGTTCATATATTCTGTGGGTGATATCACTGGAATTAACAGGTTTTATTAGCCTAGGTAAAGTTAATGATTGTTCCCAGGTCAGGCTGCAAGATTGTCTGAGACGTTATGCTTGAAGGTCATTACGTTTGTCATGATGGATGTGTCACTGTATGTACTTAGCTCTCAGAGCAACCAGTCTAGAAGTTACTTGTGGTCTAGACCTTTCCCCTGATGCTTAGGGAGGTTGTCAGCTCCTATCAGAATCACTGGCAGTTTTCCAGGCTTCCTAGCAGTGAATTCCCTACTGTTATATACATCTTGGTCCATTCTGGTCTTATTACTGTATCATTGCTTGCTCTCCTGCTACTTCTCTTGAGTCACAGTTTGTAGATGATTCAACTACCTGAAGTGCTCCTGGAGATTTTTTTTTTTTTCCCAAAAGAAATCTCACTACTGTCCTTCAGTAAACTACATTAATCCATCATGGAAAGTGAAGGATTATGTTCTTAAGTTCTTTTGAAAAGCTCAGGCAGTTTCATATTTTGGGCATCTTTTGTTTCTATGAGCTATATCCAGATCTAAGGCTGTGGTGTTTATTGCATGGTAATGAGTATAAGGCTTAAGAAATCCATCTTTGCAGTGCTCTATTTATTTGATGTATTTTAGGAAGTAAAACAAAGTTTCTCAAAAGGCACCTTCAAGCCATCTTCCATTATTTTAAAAATTTCTCTAAGCTGTAAAACTCTTTGAGAACCAGATAATTTTGTTTCTGCAGTATTTATTTGTTGCTGCTTCACTGCATATACAATGACTTATACTGAGAGCTTGGAAATGGATGTTTTACTGACATAGATATATATAGATAGATTTCCTTTTATTTTTTCTATGCTACCGTGTGGATTAAAGAAAACTCCCAAAACTGCAGACAACAAACAATAAATCAAAACAAACATACAGGAAGAGAGCCCTCAGTACAAATTCAGAGAGAATAACAGCTTCCACCTCTTCTTTCTCCCCTTTCTCAGCCTATAGTCCCACCCTAGGGAAAACATAGGAAAGTCAACAGTTCTTGATAGGTTGTCCTAGTCATCAGTCCAGCCTTGCCTATGCCAAAGGGAGATGTGAAGTCTTGCAGCAAAGCCTCTTGGAATTTCCTGCTATATAAATGGGGGGCTGTTAAAATCAAATTTTAGATGATGGAAATGCTCGGGTATTGCACAGGAAAGAAAGTAGTCTCCAAGCCAGCACTTGGAATGTACAGGCCTGAAAGAACATTTTATATTTCCCCTAGGAAGTTAGTCAGCATATCTCCTGGAGCAAAGCCTAGCATGCTTTTTGCAGAAGACACTTGCTACTGAGTGGGTAGAAATACTCTGCCCTGGCTCCAGTACCTGGATGGTTTGTAGGTTGATCCCTCCTCCCCCTTAAAATGAATTATGTCAGTTGACAAAAATCTGGTAGTAAAAGGCCATACACCTCTTACCAAAAGCAACTAATAGAAGACACATTACTATCACAGCAATATACAGAAGTACCTGCATCTCAAAGGAAGGATGAAACTCATTCCCAGTCTAATCTATGATATACTGTCTTACTGGGGCTATTACCACATAGAAATTCCATTTTTGTCCTGAGTCTGGTTCCAAACCAGTTCATAACAAGAACCTGACCGTAGCCAGTCCCCCTACAGTGCACCCAGACCATGTCTCTGGTGTATCCTGGCAAAGGCCATAGGCAGCTCATGGAACGAGTCATGTCTGCTCAAGTCTCTTGAAGTTTTCTGCCCAAGGGTGTTCTCCTGCGTATGGACATTGTGTTTGCATATGCATACCTTCACCGGTAAACTACTGTGAAAACTGAAGCCAGAATTACTGAAACTAGTATACATAAGAAATAAGCTTGGCCACTGTATATAAAAAATAACATCAAAACACTACTTAAAAAGAAGAGTATTAACGAAATGGACTGAAGCCTGAAAACATATGAAAGGGAAAAAAGAGGCAGAAGATAAAACAGGAATATGAACATGTCTCCCTAAAATATTTTTTAGAACATTCAAACACGCTTTATGTAATATTTTGGATTTGGAATTGTACTTTACATAAATAGTGAAGGATATCCGTAAACAATAATGCCATGTCTGGCTTAGCAAGAACAATGCTGTGGTCTTCAGACTGAGATATCTACCAATCTGATGCCTTGGGTATAGTTTTGGATATGTTAGTTTTACTCACCACATTCAGTAGCATGATGATGCAAAAGTTGATGCACACTGCAGTCCCTGTAGTTGCAACCTGAGAGTTATTCCTGATTAAAGCCCACTTAAAGGCAGCAAAAGTGCTGACAGTCACAACACGGTAAATAACAATGCCAAAAACAGCAGCAATCACCACACAGATCTAAAGGAAGAAAAAAATCAGAGATAAGAACTTGAAAACTTTCAATAGAACAGGAGTTAAGTTCTCCCTGAAACTCTGAAAACTAAAACAATGAAATGAAAGACTTGAAAAATACATCCATTTTAATTCCAGAGAAAGGTTTCAACATACTATTCTTATTGTGAAGTCCTTTTTATTTTCCATAATGTACAATTTCTTTGAAATTAAAATACTTCTTAGTTTCAAACATTTTTGTGAAAATGTATCTCTTCCTTAGCAATAATGTGCTAAACAGTGTTGCCAGCTCCGGGAATTAGAGATTTTCCTTCCATTCATGCTCCGCTGTGTGCAAAGGCTAGTATCAAGCTGATGTCCCAGCTTGACAGTGTCATGTTTGGGATGTATTTTGGGCTTTGATGGACTTCACACTTACAGGAAAAAATGTCTCTATTTCTAAGTACTGCCTCAACAACAACCTGGGCAAGCTACTCTAGCAAGCTCTTTCTTGCTACAGTTTTGGAAAGATTCTATCTAGGGAAGGTAACAAATTCAATTGCCTTTGTAATTTCTTCTCTGATGAGACTTTCAGCAAATCTGATGGTTATAATGTCAAAGCCATACAGCTGAGCCAGGCTGCTAAATCACTTGATTTTCCATATGTGACAGCTGGGCACTAAATGGCAACCATTTTCCATCATCACCAATTTATGTCACAGTTTAGCAAGCCACCTAAAGGACAAACAGTTGGGAATCAGCATGGGTGACTCATCTCGTAGAAACTCTGACACAGAACCCATTAGCTACCTTACTAGGTAAGGAGGGAGAGTTTCTTCAGTAGAAGACAGATGATTATTTGCAGAAGATAGGTGTATTCCAAGGCTATGCACAGACAAACTTATCAAAATTGAAGTATATCCAAGCTAATTGAATGGGCAAAATTCTTTTGAAAACATTGAATGCCAATTAAGCTGTTTTCATATTTCATTAGTTACTGAATTGATTGACATAATCCCAGTGCAGATGAAAAAGTTAAGTGTGGTGTGCATGTGAAGGGCTGGTTTATTAGATTCTCTGCTACCCCATTGGCAGCACATAGAAACATTAGAGTCACTGAGCTAGGGGATTGCCTCTGGATTCCCTGCATAGTGTTGAGGGGAAGAAGGACAACCTTCCTTTGCTAACAGGGAAACACTAACCCGGTTCAACTGCACTGTGAGAGTCAGTGCTGTGAAATTTTGCGAACTGCTCTAACTCAAAGTTTTGATAAGCGTATCTCTCCTGTGCTTAAAGGTATAATTTTTAAGGAATATTTTTACCTAAATGAGGGAAAATTCAGAGTTTTTATAACTCACTGGAGGCTCATGCTATGCCAGCAATAACAAATATCTTCAGTGAAAATAATCCTTGTCTTGTTTCAAGGACCATTATGGGCACAATTTGTGGTGCACACAATTCAGAGCAAGGCTACCCTCTCTGACACTTTGAGCAAGATCTATCACTAGGCTAAGAAGATTAGTGACTGCCTTTGCAAAGGGAGAGAAAACTGCCCCCCCTTCAAGAAAAAAATGTAGGAAAAATGCAAAATGTTGCAGGTGTACAATCAGTTCTGAGCAGACTGCAGTCCTGAGCAGACTTCTGTCTTCAAGGGCTGAGTCAGACAGTACATTGGCTCCTCATGCCCAGTGTTTCTGTGTCTGTCCATCCACCTGACATACCAGGGCATGGTTTAATAATGCTCTTGCCTTTCTTGTCCAAGATTGCACTGGACAATTTTGAAGCCATCAGTTTCTTACAAAACCCTCTGCCCTATTCCCTTCCAACTCATTCAAACACAAAGTTGCTGGGCTAGGTCACCCACCTGGCTCTCCACAGCTCCTGAAGTCATACACATATGTCATTTTCTAGCCTTCAGGAAAAGCTATGGTAAATTCCATGAGAGTCTGAGTTGATGCCAGCTGTGTTTTCAAGTTCAACCCTACCATTGGTGTTGTCATGTGAGTAACAGTGAATAACAGATTCAGTGAAGATTTTGCTGCTGCTTTTAGTTTTGCACTTTGAAAGGGGGGAGGATACATCATTTTAGGCAAGGAACATTCCATTTCAGTTGCACTAGGAATATGAACCCTCTTTCCTTACCTCCTCAAAACACTGAAAAACTAGGACATATTAACATCATTAAGCACTCTAGGCACCATAGTTAGGTTCTTTGTAGAGTTTACAAAGAACAACTGCCTCTTCCTAGACATCTCTCCATATCACTCTGCACTGTCTACACAGGGAAGGCAAGGAAATCAGTGAGCTAATTCGGTCAGCTGAAATTGGTGCCTAAACGTGGCAGTGTCACTATTCTGGTATGTGTACATATAGCCTTATGTGTTTAGCCTCGAAGAAAGGACTTCACTGTGAGACTTCGTAAAGAGTAAACTAGTGTAAGACTTTACAGAAACTCAGACTATTTTCTGTGTACAGATTTTCAGCCTGCAGTAAACATGCTAGAGATCATTTCACTGTCAAACAGTCATATCCAATATATCCATACTATGTCAGCAGAGATAATGTTATTTTATATTTTTTCAACTGGTAAATAAATTAAATTATCAAACCATAAAAAATATTCCAGATGCAGAAACAATGAGTCTGCTGCATTTATCTGCAAATGCTTGATAAGGCTCTGGCTTCCCGGATATGGGGTTCATTCGCTCTTTCTTGGAGTACTTGGCTTCAAACTGTGGACGTATTTCCTCCTAAAGAACAGACAGGCAATGTTCACACAAAGCACAGATAGGAAAGGTTCTGTAGGAAACTTCAGATCACTTATCAGATCACTGTTATTGGTAATTATATCTTCAAATTCAGCAGCTGGCACAGCTACTATAAAAGCTGAGCTGGGAAATCAGGCCTCTGCCATGAGGACTAGAATAAATCACTGTACCCATAAAACCATATTGGAAGTATTTAGTAAACACCCCAATTAGCTACTCATCTAAACAATGCTCTTTGAAACTATATGGCTGTAAGCCCAATCATTAAAAGGTTGATACCACAGAGTTTTCCAGCCTGGTATTATCCTATTGATACTGGAATTCTACAACAAAACAAAAAGCAAAAAAAAACCCAAACCCAAAACCAAACTCCATTTTCTAAACCCAATTACACCTTGCTAGGTACCTTGGTTACCTTGCCATTACCAGCAAAAGTTTCTCAGCATTTGAAGAAGGAGCCATGCCATCTAATATTGCTCAAGTCCTTCCTAACTTGCACAATATTATTAGCAGGAACAGCTTTCAGCAGCAGAAATGTCAAGTCCTGCTTTGCCATAAAAACTCTCCTCTGAAATGAAACCTGGGGATTTCTTGGGGAGAGGGTTAGTTACATCTGTTTACAACCTTTTCAGATGACAGGGTTCACTCAGTTCAGGTAAGACCTCACGACTTTCAGCCACAGTCGGGCTACCCCACTGCCCTGCCATCTGGGAGGTTCACCAACAGCCACGTGTCCTGTGCCACCTCACCCAAGTCTGACATCAGGGATGCGGTCAGAGATGAGAGAAAGCACCAGGCTGCAAAGATGGACTCTCACAGCTGCTGCAGCCCGTATACATTAGATCAAGTTTTATAGTGCTCTGATGAATACTGGAGAGCTGGCCCATGGTACAGCTGGCTACAAGGGAGCACCAAGGTAGCTATGGGTTGTCTTTGCAGCTTTGCTGTGCATTTCTTTGTAACAACCAAGAACCCAGCTTACCAATTTCAGTCTCTTCCAACCCTTCAACTGCATTTAATTGAGCTTTGACTGACTGAAAGTTGTAAATGACCAATCCTTAAATGACTGAAATAGGAGAATGTTAACTGCTCATACAAGTCTTTAGAATGTGGCTAAAAATAAGATACCCTAAAATCCTACATACTTTTTATAAAATTCCCTTGGGCGGATAAAAAATAGTCATGTCTCTTTCTCTCAAATTTTGAAGGCACTTTCTCAATACAGTTAATTTCCAAATTCAAGCAGCAACCTGGTAACATGGTATTAAAAAAAAATTAAGAGGCACGTATGCTCAGCTGCAATGCCTGTGTAACTAATTATGTGCTTGAGGGAACCAGCCCTACATTAGCTATATACAAAGGCTAAGCATGTTTCTGTGGAGACAGGATAACACCTTGCTCTTATTCTATCTTGCTCAAGCTGTTCCTGCCATACCAGGGCTGAAGGCTGCTGAGCAGACCATAATCTAGCAACAGAAACAATGCGGGTAGTGTTCCCGTGTGCCCAGGAACATGCGAGAGGACAGAGTGTTATAGCATTGAAGCAGGGCACTTGAGAATTGCACCCTGTAGATTGTGCAAGGGCTCTGCCAGGTGACTTGCAGAGTCATATACAAGAAACCCTTTCTTCTCTGCAGCTCTCTCTAAGCCAAGATTTGATTATCTTTTACAATCTCCACTACAGGGAAGTCCTTATATCCACCTGTCCATGAATCTGGGTATCTCCTATGATCTCCAGTCAATTCAGATAATGCAAATGCTATTTTTACAGATATATCTCCACACAAAACAAACTCTGGCATGAACCCTCGTACCTGTTTAATGACACTCAACAATGCTGAGCACAGCTTGGGGCAAGAAGTAAACAGTTCTGTATCTGGCTGAGGTTAATGATATAAAGAAAGTGACACTGAAGAAAAAGAAAAAAACTACGCTGTAAAATAGCAACAGAAGGCATATTTCAGCTGGGAGTGCCAGGAACTCTACACAGTTGGTTTCTTGTTGCGCACCCAGCCAAGACCCAGTTACTGTCTCTATGTCCCACCTCGCACCTTATTTACAAGAAAAGGAAATCCAGATATGCAGGGTTGAAAGAGCCAGAACACATTCAGCCCTTGTCCCCAGACTGGGGGACCTGGATGCTGCAGGGGCTGCTGCATGCCTTCCCTGAGGGAAAATCAAAAGTGGTGAGGAATTCACAAGGTTGCGTATCTGAACAAATTTAATTCTCCTTCCCCTTGTCTTCATTGTTTAATTTCTTTGTCTCTTCATTTAGAACAGAAAAGTGATAATGAAGTGATAGGAAGCTTTATAAATGTGGGGTTTTTTTCAGTCTATTGTTGGTAGGAATTAATAAATTTCCCTTTGTAGCAAAGCCTTATTTTTCGATTTGACAATGAAAATTAAAGCAAGAAAAGCTAGACATGGCAGATAATGTTAATAAAAATAACAATCTTCATTAACAAAAGCTTGTGACTTAAAATGGTAATCAGAACTCTTTAATTGATTTCTTTGAAATAGCTAATAAAAGAAATCGGCTGATTTTGTCCAGGGATAACTGAATGGGATGTAGAGAGAAAATTGAATTAGCAGTGATTTTATTAGAAAGCAGCACTTTTAGGAGAAAAATTTTCACCTTATGGAGCCAAAATTCTCACTGGCATGTACAACTTCATGATCAAACTCCACAGGATGTGTCTCTTTCAATCTATATAAAACAGACTATTCTCCTTCCTTCCTTCCTTCCCAATTCTCAAACATGAATCATTCAGAATCTTTATACACAGGAGAAATCATACTGATTTCTGGAGTATCAAACATGGATTAATGTGCACTGCCTTAGGCCAGATCTTTCTGTACTAGAAGAGCTACTGTAAATTTCTTCGTGAAATATATCCTTTTCTTTCAGGAGTTTTCTGAGTCCTTCAACAGGTGAATTCTTACAGGAGTCCTATCCTTCCTAGTCCAAGGATATATTGTCCTCTATAGCACAGATGTAGAAAAGGTATTTGTAAAAGATTGAAAATCCGAATCTTGATCACTGGGACAATGATAGCATCCCCAGAAATAAGTCTCCTTGCAAAGCATGTGGTTTGCAGGTCATCCTGGTTGCAACTGAAGGCAATATCAAAGTGAAGAGGTGGACTTCGAACCATGGAACAGGGAACTGATCTCAACAGTTTTTCACCTGGGACACCTGCTTCCAAACTGTGACTGTCCCAGGGGCAAAGTCCTGCAAAGACCCCAGTGCCAATGGAAAAGTGCAGCATTTCATACTCAAGGAGACAGTGGTCTGTACAGCTGGACTTAAAGCGCGGACATGCTTGAGTTGTGAAGTAGGTATGGGCACTGTCAGCTGTAGCATCTTCAGAGAAGACACCTCTGGGACGCAATCAGCTCCCACTCTTGGGATCCCACTGAATACTGAATAAAGGAGGAACTGATGCCTCAAATGCCAATGAGATACCGATGCTCTGATGACTGGTCACATAAATCTTTGAGAAGCAGCCAGCTGAGTTCCTACTGGCATCTTTAACCTCTAATTTGAGAGAGAAAGGTACCATCTGGCACACTGCTTCTGAAAAGATTGCTATCTCCTGCTGTAGAGACTTATAAATCTCCCTCTAGAAGGTGCAATGAATAGCTCTGGAGCAGGTACACTCACCACTGCTCCTGGGCACCTGACTGTGGTTTTGTTGACAGAGCTCATTGGAAAAAGCTTAGTGTGAGAATAAAAGCCCAGCTGACCATCAGCAGGGAGCAGGTATCCTCTGAAAATTACCAACATGTCAACCTGCTGGACAAACTGAAATAGTCTGCCCGTGGAACACAAACATCTCTTATAAAAAATAATGTTATTTGATAGACATCATAAAATAAACACATCATGTTTCTAGGAGGATAGTTTCAACTACCAGAATCTCTTTCAGGCTTTCTGACTGGAAGTGGAAAAATCTAGCAACTCTACTCTCTTCTGTCTTTTTGCTGTTTATTCCAGCTAAAGGCTTAGTTCACTTAAGGACAACCTTACCAGGAAATTCAATATTTGTAAATGAGCTGATCATAGAAGGTTCAGGTGGATGGCTTTATAAACCAGCATAATCCCAAATCCAGGTAGGTTAAATCATGAAAGGTACAGATATATAACATCCCAGAACATAAACATCTATAAGACCAGGCTTCCTGGGAAAAACATAAAAAGGGCCTCACACTGTACTTGCTTGTGTATTTTGTTAGTTTAAAGGCTCCTTCTCATTCTGGGGACACTGAGCTATAAACTTGACTTGGAAATTGAAATTTGGTACATCCATCTTTTGCCTTAGCTGTCGGAAGCAGCAGCGGGTTTTTTGCAACAAGCCATGAGGGCACACGATCACGGCAGGTCAGTCCTGACCAATATTTGAAACTGAGGCAGGACTATCTCAGTGTGGTCTCTCTATTGTTCATCAGCATTGGCAAGAGCAGGGGAGTTAAATAAGTATTAGAACATTTTCTAAATATATGACAATAGCCCTGAAGTATCACCAAGAATTGACAGCATTTGTGTACAAATAATGATGTTCCTGTTGCTATAAAGAAATCAATTTCCAGTTATGTAAGTTCATTTTATGTTCTTGGTTTATTTTCTTAGTCATTAAGTATTTAAAAAAAATATCCTACCAGCAAATGAGCAACTGTATCATTTCATGGCCTCATTGAACTACATTGCCTCATGGAGACAAAAATCCTGTAACTCAGAAGTCTGTTTCTCTACTGGCGAGATTAATGAAAAAGAAATTCTTCCACAGAGGCAGCAATATAGAAGTTCAACGGCACTGAGACCACTACAGAAGCCTCTTACAGTCCTTCCAAGTGCTTCAGGACAGTCTTTGAAGAGTTAGAAGAGCAGACTCTGGACACCTGCATGACCAAATCCCACTCAAGGAGCACTTTTTCTGCCACACCCACTGAATCTTGCTTTTCTCCTGCATAATAAAACCTTCTAGTTCCACTTAGACCTCAGCTCTCAGTCCCAAGAGCATGATGTTTCTTTCTGGTAACTACCACAGAAAAAGGTTAAGGCTATTTTTTGCTGTTTAGCTTCCTCCCTTAAGGGATTTCCTCTACCAACAGAGGATGAATTAAGTCCTTTGAGTTTGTTCAGCTCATTCAGTCTCTCTGCAGCACTCTATACTTAGGTAACGAGCACCTGAATGTTCAGAAGCTGGTATAAGCCTCACAAGGCTTTCTATCCACCAATATACTTAGTGATTATCTAAAAGGATAGATAAAAGCTCATTTGCCAAAATTCATGGTACCTTGGGCTGTCAAGAATTTCCTTGGATTCAAAAGCAAAATTTGTTAGTTTCCCCCAAAGTGCATTTTTTTTCCTGAAATCTTCCACAACAACAGTCACTGATCTGTTGAAAATAATTTAGATTTACAAAGGTGTAAAAAAAGACAACAGTTTGGCCTGGGGAAAGTTTCTTCACATTCCAGGGGAAATATCTGAGGAGAAAAATGCTTATTTCCTAGTTAATGAAGATTTGAAGAATGAACTGAAAATAAATCCACAAGAAAATTATGCTTACATTTTTAATAAAATCTCTTTGTATTAAAGACTAAGGAGTATATATTTTTATACAAACCTCCTCTTCTTCCCAGTCTATCAAGTCCCAGTCATAAGCAATTACTGCTCGCCTTCTTTTCCAAAACTCCAGAAAAACAGTTGCTGGAGCAAATAGAAAAAAAAATACAAAATTGTTTTTAAGTCAAGAAAATGTTAACTACTATCACAGAACTGTTGAATGAAGCTATTACATTATTTTCATTTCTTTGCATAAATGGATTCCTTTGAATAGCAAATCATGCTGATGATCAAAACTTTTCAAAAAAGCATTGCTTTCTAAGGATTACTTTGCTTGCTTCAAGTATGATTGAGGCTTTAGAGATTTCATTTAGTGCTAAATGAGAATGTTTAATTTCTAACCAACCAAGGGAGGACTCTCAAAGAATAAAATCATTCCTGTGAGTCATCATTACTAGATATAGCAGATTTCTGATGAAGCTAAAGGTCTCTTGGGGCTATTGTAGGTAAAGCAGTAACTTTCCTTCTTTGAAGACCATTTACAATACACAGAAGCCAGAACCCAGAGGAAGCACATTCCAGTGCACGTGCAAATCTGTAGAGTACTACTGAGGAAATGGCAACTTTTGTCTTTCCAAACCAGACCCCTTCTTTTACACTGCATGAGTGTGTATATGTGGTGTGGCATTAACACCTGACAGTTTAACATTCTGTGCTGTACAGCCCTTCTTGACAGGGTTCAAGATAGTGTAATACGCCTAAACATGACTGTTCTTCCATTTTGTGATGGAAAGAACAATCAAGGAAGCACTCAGTCATAAAATAACTTGTTCATATTCTGGAAATTAATACTGAGCCTGTTTATGGTTACGTGTTTTTTTAATTTGTTTTGTTAAAAGAGTGTAGAAGCTGCCTAAAGCTGACACGAATCAGTGGAAAGGCTTCCTCTCCCATGGTGAGGTTTGGCTCTTCCCTTTATAGCCCACTGAAAAGCAGCAGGCTGATAACCACAGAGAACATAAACCTCTTTGTTCATGAGCTAGCACAGTATCAGCTGTAACAGTGTCACAGTAGCCTGGCAATACGTTCCACATCCAGTCCTAAAAGCATCTCCTTAATGGACTATCTATCTGCTCTACTGCAGCATATTGATAATCATATGACATGATCCTAAGCGCTGGCATCCGAATCGTGAAAGTGAATTTTTAGCCAGTAAGAATTATTATATTATAATGTATTAGCCAATGCAGCTAAGACATGCTTGGAAAATGAACACTGCGAGCAGATAAGATATCAAAACCATGTTTAAGGAGGCAGCTATTTGGCTTGAAGGCATTTTCATATATCATGTCATCCTTTTTCTGAAAGCTGGAGTTATGTTACACTAGGTAACCAGCTGCTTTGGTTTAATCTAATAAAGTCAATTCAATCTCCTGAGCCTAATGTTTCTATGACTTTTTGTAATAATTGCAGTATGATTGGTTGGGATCGGCAAAACTGGTAGGTGCTAATGAGGCTCCGCTGCTGCTGAATGAGCGCATTGTTCATTCCTTACTTTTCTGGTAGAGCTGCTTCTCTCCTATCAGCTCATATTGAACTATTTTGTACAGGCTAAACAAGTAGCCCTACACTTTTTGGAGACCTGGGAGAAACAAGCCTGATTGATTACTACCACTCTGGTTCCATTCCAAAAAGCAGCTGGAAGCAGGACTTGAGTGGGTGTATGACTCCACAGGGAGGAACCTTTCAGGTATGTCTGTGCTGAACTATACTTCTTTTCTTTCTTGTTTTTCACACACCTGGAGTGAGGAATCTATACATATTATATTTAGCATATTTAGCACCTGTCAGAATAAGTATGTGCAGTTCCTGAAGCTTCTTTAGAAAGCTATTTTCAAATCATTAAGTAGCAAACAGGATGATTGCACAGCGCTCTTTTAGCTTTTACTGTGCTACACTTTTCTCCCTCTATCCAGGTCAGTATGCACTTTTCCCTTGCTAGATATTTTAAAATGTGCTATAAATAACCATCTTTGATTGATTCACTGTACTACTGAGGTCTTCTAAAAAGTACTGAATTTTGAAATTTCTCTGCTTCTTTTCTAGTCAAGTAATCACTAATACCCTATGTTACACTTTAGCGTTCTTTTCTGGCTTGGACAGGTCAACAGGACACAGTTGTACTTATCATTCTCCCATTTTCCAATTGGTATGTTTAAACCAGATGCTGAGAATTCTCCAAAAATCCTGCTTGGAATTTTGAATTTCTCACTGACCTTAACTCCTAGGTCTTTTGCTAGCTTTTTCTATATTATGCTTGCCCTGCTTCAGAACTCAATCTTGCAGTTCAGTCCTCGATGTCCACTTGTACAAACAGCTGTCTTAACATCATTTCCTCAGATGATTTTGAAACAAGTTGTGACCTTAGCTAGTAATGGAAATGGCCTCCTGCAGCAAATAGCTTAATCCTGACCTTCTCTCAGAAATCCTCTCCCTATTGTATTTCAGAACACCATTGAATATATACATCCTGACTTCTGGAATATATTCTATATATGAGAAATATTGCTGAAGAACCTCCTTAAATTCTATCTCCTCAGAGGGGAGATCAATGTGAATGTTTTATACTAGAGGCAAGGTTTGTGGGAAAGTAATATCTTTTATTAGACTAACTGAAAAAATGTTATAGATGTATATTTAAATAAATGTACATTTAGAAAAAATGTTTTATGTTGACATTTTTTACTGCTTGAGAGAAGTGTTAAATTCTTCATGCCAGGCCTTTTTTCCCCTCCCAACTTTGCCTTTCAGCAAGTGTTCTAAAGCTATTTCCTTTATCAAAGGAAACATGCTTCTAGGTAGACAAGAAGAAATTTCAAAAAGGACTTTTCTTGTGTCCCTTAGTCCCCTAAAGGTATGCAGAGCCAGAGAAAGTACCATCAGCCCTGCCTTGTCTCTAGCAGAGCATTAGAAATGGTAAATAGCTGGACTATCCTGTGGACAGTTACAGAACTTTGCCACTGAGCTTCAGGAAACATCTAGACAATGATATCTTTGCCCCAGCTTTCCCCAGTACTTCAGTTGGGAAAACAAAAGCTACAATTCCATCTGGCTTTACAGCAACATGCTGGGAGTCAACTGAGTATCAAATTTACCTAGATTTTTTTTCTGAGGATGACATTTTTCTGCACTTAAATGTCAACATTTATTTAGAATGAACATCTTTCTCTCATTTTCTGTCTTTGGTACAAATCCAATTCAGACAGTAAAAAGAGAGGAGTTTTTCTTAGAAATGGGACCTACCTTTTCATCAAGCTTGATACATCTCAAAAGATACATAAAGGGCAAAGTGTAGGTGTTTCTGTCTAGCACAGAAATACAAAAAATGCTATTGCTCCCCTCTTTTTGAAAGCTTTGAACATCTGGAAAATATCATCAAGACTAGAGATTCTCAAAAGGAAGAATTATTTTCCAGGTTCTGAGATGATGACATCTCAGTGAGAATCAACAACAATCTATTCACCAATAAAAAAAGTATTAATGTTCACAGAGACTTACTGTTTGCTATAAACCACAGAGATTTATAGTTTCAATCCTTTTGAAACGGTTTTCCTTTCAACAGAAGCTCCAATACAGAAAAGTTTATACAAACTACCAGTAAATTCCTTCAGTGTACCAAAAGGAGACTATCTTTTAGCCGTTGCCTCATCTGTTTAAAATGAAAGTTGTCTTATGACTTTTGGGTATACCTTAGTAAGTATAATTTTTTTTTTCCTATTATATCAATTACTTTTGCTTCTTATACAGAACTTTGCTTAAATAGGGCAGAAATACAGTAAGTGAGGTGATGGGTCGATATGTTTTTAGAAGAAAATATGTTTCTATTCCAGTATCTCCTGGTGCACTTGACAGTTCCAACCTTACTTTGATGCGACCCACTTATCCCACAATGAAGCATTATAAAAGATGGGTCCCTTGCTTCAGAGTCCAACAGCCAGGCTCATTGCTGCTCCACAAATCAAGCAGCGCAAACTGATATTTGTCATGGTAATTCCTCTCCCTAGCCTAGCCACAGCAGTTTGCTCATCATTTGAAGAAGCATTTTATTTCTATTTAAAAAGTGAGCAACCCACTTTGTCCATCAATTAAAGATGTATTTAGAGTAAAAGGAGGAAACCACCATACAGATCACCTTTTCATGGAAAGTCCAACCTGACCAAGGCTGGTTTTGAAAACCCCAAGCAAATGGCTGAGGCTTCTCCTTCAAGAAGGGAGTTCATTGATGGATCTAAAGACAGCGAAGAAGGTACTTTAGATAATAAGACAGTCGCTAAGCTCAGGTTAAAGAGGTAACACAATTCTAGCTGCCTTTTTTTGCTTTCATTCTCTTTTTTTAAAAGGACTGACATCATTATTTTACATGCTAGTGTCTGTCAAACGGGATCATCTAGAAGGCTGAACTTTTCACAGCCAATTTGTCATGCACTTGCCAGTTGTTTCATGCTGACAGAAAAAACATTTCTACAACCAAACTGCTGTCATTGTTTCTTCCCTTCCCCTACAATTTATTGAGAAGATGGTAATGCCTGCAGCTGCCAGTAGGCCTACTGCAGACTGAAAATCCATTTAAGACAGGTGGTAAGCCAACGTGTAAATGCAGTACCAGAAAATCCTAGGGAAGTGTGACTTTCCTTGTTCTAATTTTGCTTTAGCCCCAACTGTATGGAAAATATCTCCACAATCTCACTGTTGTCTCAGCAATATCTTATTTAAGAAACTACAGTTTGGGTGGAGCCACAGGATCACCCCATTGCCCAGTTGCCCCATTACCCTACAGTCACAACCTCCTTCCTGTTGCTGCCCCTAGAATCCCTCTTGGAGGTATGCTCACAAGCACAGTGTAAGCCAACGAAAATGGTGGGGAAAGCTCTCACTCCAGCTGCTGTCCTATAGTTTCTTCTCCACTAGCCAAACTATCGAGAGGGCAGCATTTATTATATTTTTTCTTCTCTCTCTGTGGGCCTAGGTGCTGGAGATGCATGGATGGGCAGTGCATTTCCCAGTCCTGGCAGGCTGGTGGGGAAATATTCCCAGAGGGAGTCTGACAGTGATGCTGGAGGAGGAGGAGGAGGAGGAGGAGGAGGAGGGAGAGGGTAAACACAGTGAGGTGCAGCTCCTGTCAACTAGGGACAGGAAAGAGAGAGGATCTACAACATTTTATAGGCAGGCACGTTCAGCCTTCTCAGCCTTCTATCAGGCAGTGATCACAAGGCAGGAACAGGCATCATTCCCTGAGTGAGGGACTCCCCTTACCTAGAGATGCTTTTCCTACAGCCCTGGTTCTGGGCAGTGCTAACACACAGGTGCAATGATGTGAGCCCAGCTGTTTCCTGAAAGCTGTGTTACTGTTAAGGAAGAACAAAAGCACTGGTGCAAAAAGCTGCACTCCAAAGACGTGCTCACCAGCAGTTAGGAACAATGACATAAATGCCCAACAATGTTAGCCCATCAATTTTCCTAGTTGAGATGGAAGTCTCTACCTCTAAACTGTCTTGGAAATTCTCAACTTCACTGAGCACATAGAGAAAGAGGTTGGAAAAGCTGAGTAAACATCTAAAAAAGATGTTTAAAGCTTAGAAATTTTTGGTGAATCTCAGCTCTGGTGTAGCTCTAAATACCAAGGAGAAACATTAAAAACTATACGATCTGTGGATTTTTTTCTTTAACGTAATTTGTGATATTTTAATACCATCAATATTACAGGAAATGGCATGAATAGGCTTGATTGGTACATGGCCTAATTTAATTAGTTAACTAAGAAAAAAGTATAATTTTGGAGGAAGGAACTGAGACAGACTGATAGGCTAATCTATGTTGTCCTGATGGCTCTGATGTTGCCTCCTGGCAATCTCTTGTGGCTCAGTATTTTTGATTTGCAGTTTAAAATGGAGTTTATAAGAATTACTTGGACACCTTTCCAAAGCAGTTGGAGATGTGTGAGTAAGAACAGTAGAACAATGGCTAAATCAGGATAGCTCAAGCACCCGGAGCTGTGAAATGGATGCCATTTTTGAGGCACCTCATTGAGCCATTTTCTAAAGGTGTTAACCCTCTCTCAGAATGGCATGGTAGCAGCTAAGAGCCTGGGCATGCTCAGGGCATGTTTGAAAGACTTTTTATGCTGCCAGAAATTATTCTTTCCTCTTGTCTTCAATACAAGACCACAGTAGGAAGAATAGTTGAGCCAGAAATAGAACTGTCCTATGGGCAAAATTCAGCCTCCATGGCAACGGTTAGACCACTTTTGGATGAATCTGTCATTTAAATAAATCTTCCATTTATTTCATGAGAGTTTTGCTTCAATTACAACAAGATTACATGTATTTAAGCTTTACTGCCTTTCTGCAAGGTGGGAAAAACAATACATTAATTCATTTTAGTACAGACACTAAACTGATCTGCCTTAAGCTAAGAGAAACCCTGAACATTAACAGAGAAAAGGCCTCAGTGCCAACAGACTGAAAAACAATTACACCCCCTCAGAATATAACCATCTACATAGACACTAGATACTGCATTCATGTTCTTATTTTAATTAAAATTATTATCACGTAAAAAACTGATTTCAACCACTTCCATCTTCCTTTTGCAGAAACAGAAGAGAATCAAGCCTATATTGTTTTTCTTGGTGTCTGAAAAAAAAAACATGCTGGAAATTACAAATGGCTATGTTGCATCATAATCTTTAGGAAAAAGATTGTGCAATTACTTGATATCAAAACAAAAACTTACCCCACACTGCCATGAAAACAGCAAAAAAGACAGTAGCTCCATTGTCAAAAAGGTGGGTTACCTGAGGGATATATTAATAGTATGATCAATTTATGAAAATAAGGATTTATTTTCTACTTTCACCTGATGGAATTAATGTGACCATGAGTCCAGTTGGCCTGATAATCCTGAGGATCCTTCCCTTGATGTGTGAAATGTACCTGTCAACTGTCAGGACTATTTGCCTTGCCAATACTGGGTGTGAGCATCATTTCAGACCTAAAGCATTCATTTTACGGAGGCATGTACAAAGGTTGAATCATAAGATAAAGGTTGATGCCAAGGACACCATAGCACATACATCTAGGGCACAACCTCTGGGACTGCTGAGTCTCGACTGGCAAATTGCATTCAAGTGTTTTACAACCCAAACTAAGTCCTGGTGAAAGACAATGAATGTTCATATTGGCTCAACTTGATCTGTCCTTTCAAGATTTTATCTACCCAAGCTCACAAAAGAGAAATGCAAAAGGCAGGAAAGCATTTCTATTTGCATAGTTTAAAATGTACCTTGGCATAAACGCAGCTGTCTGACAACCTCATGAAGGGACAGTATTTATCACATATAGGACACATTATGATATCTGTTGCTTGGCAGACTTCTTTACTGGAAAAATAGAAAAGGTAAAAATTAATAGTTTGATGCACAACAATCAGTCTTAACATGGATTGATAAATTTCACTAATATTCAGTTACTTATTGAACAGTACTGGTTCTGTAACTGAAGCCAAGATGTTCATAACAGCCTGTGTACAATTAATATTTGCTGACTGTATAAGACTTCAGAGTTTACAGTCATAACTGCAGAGGACAGTTATTCAGGGCCAGCCTAGCAGTATCTCTTTACCATTTCCAGCTTCTCCTTGAGTCAGAAGTGACCTTTGGTAGGAGGAGGGTGAGGATGACTGCAGATAAAGTTGGGCTTATTCTTGTGACTTGTCTTAAGTGTGCAAGAATGTAGAGATGCAGCACACAGCAGAAGGTCCAGGGGGTTCTTCACCTGAAGAATGTCTCCCTGTGGTGGATCTTTGGCAAAGGCCTTGAAGAGAGTGAAAAAGGCCACTCTTCTGCTGGCCTGTTACAACAGTAATGAAGGAACCCTACTTTTCTCCTACGTCATGCTGAGTTGCCAGCACCATCAGCAACTGGACAAGAAACATTGCCTCCCATCCCAATCCAGGAGCACGAAACAAGGGAAGCTTGATACTGGGCACCTTAAGAGAACCAAGCACAGTCTTTTCCTGAGTATTCATTCAACAATTCAAAATGAAATAATTAACAATTCATATGAAGATTTCTTAAATTATTAATAATAACCCACAGCTGTAATTTCCCTTATATAATTGCCCACATTACCTGACTTGGCAGTGGCTCAAAGTGGTGACTCCATACAAAAAGACAAACAATCCAATGAAGGCAGCTGGGAAGAGCATCCCTGTGTACCAGCCTAACCAGGCAAAGTACAGCCCAATTTTCTCACCAAAGTACCGTCTGTTTTAAAACACAACACAGTGAAGTTACCTGCTAATTAGAATAAATCTGATTAATCTTGCTTGTTAAGAGAAAAGAAATTTTTCTATCACCTCTGAAGAGTAGAATAGAGAGCAGAGACAGAATTTCCTGAAGAAAAAGCCTGCAGCTAGGCTTCTAAATCCACACTGAGGGACCTGCCTCATGAATGACCTTGAAGAGCGAATTTAAAAATTCACAAACCACAGTTTACAGTGAGATGAGTGGAGACCTCAGAAAGGAAATACTGAGTTCACTTTAAAAAGCTAGCTCTCTGTGTTTGGGAAACTGATGGCTTTCTTTGTCTTTTGGCTGTGTAACTGTACTTCCCAAATAATTGCATTGAAATCAGTTTCCTCCCCAAAACTGGTGTAACAGTAAAAATTATTTGGGCCCAAGTTATTTCTAAGAAATTAATTAACCAGAGATTATTCTCCAATCCAGTTTGTTTTCATTTGATTATTTCTTTTCTCAGCTCAGTTCCTGGAAAACTAATCTCATGATTCTACCACAGGTGGAAAGTAAAGTGCAAGTAAGTTCCAACAAATATCTTGATATATCATCTTGCACTGATTTGAGGAAAGTAGCTTGAATTAACCCTAATTTGTTAACTATATTGCTTAAAAAATAACAGCTAAGTGGACAGGAAGCTCCTATGTGATACATATTCATTAGCATTTTTCCTCCTCCCAAACAGAACCAAATCTTTATTTATGTGTTGAAGAATACATTAAGCACACAAAAACCCTGCTAAACTCATCAGCACAGGAGCAGGCTGCATGCACTGTCCTGTGTTTGATGGTCTTGTGCACGGTAGGCTGATGATCAGATTAGGATGCTTTACAAATCAATATGCAATTATCATGATTACAATGAAGATTTTAGGAGATTATTTGCAAGATTAGTTTTAAAAAAGGAGGCAAGATGATATTTTTGCACTTCGGAGACTTTGCAGACAACCCAAACTTGTATATCAACTGAATTTGAGAGTAGCTGCTGCTGAAAACCCACTTTTACGCTAATGATGAAATTTCTGATCTGTCCAGAGACAGCAAATGCAATGAGCCAACACTGCTGGCTCCTTTATGCTACCAGAAAACATCTTTGGTCAGACTTTCAAAGTGAGGAGGAAAAGACCCACAATGGGCTCTAGGGCTGGTGGTAGTGGAGAAGAGAAAGTAACACTTGGTCTGGAATGGAAAAAATTATCAGTTTTCAAATATCAGAAATTTGGATATCAAAAATTTTCAGCTTGAGCAATATCTGTCTGGGCTGAGCTCATATTCTGCTGAATGATACTGACCTACATTGATTATTATCCTTTGAGTTTACTGGTACTGTATGAGAAGTCAAATATTGTCACGTTGTTTTTATTCTTCTGTCATGCAACAGAGACTCAAATTTACAGGCTCAAGAGGCAGTAAGCTAACGACAACATGCTCAGTTCTGACAAGAGAAGCAGGTCTGGTTGTAAAAAGACACACTGGAAACTACATTCTGAGCCCTGACTTAAGAGTGTTGGTGAACCCTTTGGCCTAATTACTTTCCTGACACCTAAGGTGTCAAGCTGTGCCTGCTCCACCGAAAAAGCAAGCTCACATTTTGAGCTTACTTCCACTGAATATTTATGACCTATTTTTCTCCATGTACATCGTTCAAAGTAGTGAAGTAAACCTAATAATCATCAAGATTTATTTTTTTTACTTTCATTCCATACATTCAAGGATGAATGCTTCCTCATTCCACCCCCCTAGCTGACAAACATTCATGACAAACTTTATCTCCTATCCTGTTGAGCTCTTCCATCTAATGGTGCAAATCATAGTGCTCTTTTTTGATCTGGAGATCAAACAGCTTCATCCTAGATGAAGACCCAAGTAAGGTTCAGTGTGCACATAAAGAAGAATGGACTTGATGGGGAGCACCCCAGATCTCTGCAATGTAAGGAAAAGGCATCTGAGGCCATTTGGGAGCCTGGTTTTAAAAATAAGTGCAGGATGTTGACATTACGTTGATATATATTGGTTTAAATATGGACAAACAGCTTCAATCTTCCACTATTGCCCTTTACTTCACAGCTTGTATTCCTCAGGCTGTACTACTGTAATTTGTATCAGGATCAAGTTAATATTTCATTTCTTCTGGCCCCACAGTTAGCATAGCCTTTCTGTAAGTCTCTGCTCAGATACCAATAAGTTGAGTGCTATAGAAACAAACTATGGCAGTTACAAGGTCTTTGGAGACCTTCCTACGTGCCATATTCGGAGCAGTTCCACATTTATTCCAATCCATAACTGGGTTAGCCTGAACCATCATGACTTTCAGGAAATGAAAATG